ATTGGGCACATCAGTCTTCATTCTTGATGGTCCATTTCCATCTTTCGACGCTATACTGATTGTTCCTGAGACTGGTTTTGTTGATGAGGTCATTAGCACGTGACATTTTTTGGAAGAAATTACCCGATTGGTTCCAACGATTTAGCAGGTTCATAGACTGGTGTGCAAGGGATGAACTACATTACACTAACTGAACACATCAATTTGAGCAAGTTTGGTTCTGTCTGCCATTTATTTTTACTGATAGACAATATGCCATGCTTAAAGACTGCATTAGCTTAATTAATGATTTTGTTCTCAACACTTGAACATATCTACCTCTTTAATGGGTCGTATACGATAATAAAGACATAAGCAAATTTCCTTTATATTAAAGATACTCTAGGAAGATAATATGGTTAAATGTTGGACCTACCAATAATGATCCAGTCATAGTAGCATACAGCTTAGTGTTTGTGTTGATGATCGAAAGACAATTACTTTATTATTTGTTACATTGTTCGTTTCCAGTCTTGGATGGATCTATACAAGTAATCTCCCTTTCTTAAAGTAAGGAAGAAAAGTTCATCTGTACAAATGTTTTGATTGTCATATTGATGTGATCGCTTCATATCTTAATATTGCCTTCAATATGTACAGCTTTCAATTGTGTTCTTTGCGTTACTATAACTCTGCTTTGTAATGTGCTTCAAATATTAATTGACAGGTTGTCCAATGCAGACAGATCCAGGAACTGAAAATTGCATTATAGGTGCTCTTTAGTGTCTATTCAAGCACAATGCACACGACTATTTTCCCGACATTTTCAGCTATCGAAATGTTAAATCCACTCTGAATCAGGTATCCCTCGCATATCTTACAATCAATTATTTATACGAGTGTATGTGTGTGTGTGTGTTTCTTTGACAATCAATAGAACGTTGTGTAGGTCAAAAGAATATTTTACTTACTAGAAACCTTTTTCACATTGAATCTAAATATAATTTCCATACGAACACTACATAGATCTGATTCATTACGATGTCTGATTCAATTCTTTGTCTTTGTTTGACCATAGAGGCGTTGCAAGTTTTGTTATGTGTTATTATGACATTTCCTAGACGGCATTCAGGGGAAAAAGTACAACTGTAAAAGTTTTGTTTTCCATGCGGATATAAGACTTACGGTCAGATGGAGAAAAAAACTCTTTCCCAAAAACGACACAATACTTATATTTTAATGCTTTTAATAAATGACAGCATGTTTAGGCTGTAAGTTCAATGGAAAAACCATTTCAGCAGCAACGTAAACAGTGCAATTAAAGTTGTCATTTTTGCTCTGAGAAGGTCTTGGAAATATCAATTATTACAGGCCTGCAGATTGCAATAACAAAGTCACAAATTTGTACGTATACAAATTTTGCTAAATAGTGTTAAAGCCAGTGTACATCTGAAAGCTGAAAAACGTATGCACACATTTTGCTAATATGCGTACATGATGGGTCTAAACGTTAAAATAAATCAAATGCCACGAGCTCTTAAATCATTACCCCATGCAATACAATTTGTCTTGTTATGTTACGCAAAAGGAATGAAGTAGAACGAAACCTTCACTTCTGCACTGCGATAATAGAGTTAAACGTGGAATTTTATTACCAATCAAGGACGTAGAATTCGTAAATATTCTGGTGTCTAAATGATCAAAATTACTCAACAGGGAGTGGAAGTATTTTATTTGTTCTGTACATTGCTGAAGCCTCGATCCCCAAATAAGTTCCATTTTTAGATGTATGTACATTCTAATAGAAACACATAAAAGTCCACTTACTCAGCATCCGTATAAACGATATATATATATATATATATATATATATATATATATATATATATATATATATATATATATATATATATATATATATATATATCTTCAGTGTACAAGATGTAATGAATACATCAATCTTTACTCTTTGTTGCGCTCTCAATTTCCATTCGTATGTTTTTATGACGTAGGTAAATTATACTGTTTGACTTCGTTACAAAATTATAAAGAACCTACACGAGCAACATCCTTATAGAGGATAGAAAACGGCAGAAGAAATAAAGTTTTGACTATAATATGTATTTCCTGTTTTTATTATGCACACATAAACAGACAGAGAGGGAGACAGAATTAGTAAAATATTGATTACAAAGATGCGGATTATATGCACATGCGGACTACTATCTTCAACATAGATGTCATCCAACACATAGGTAATATATATATATATATATATATATATATATATATATATATATATATATATATATATATATATATATATATATATATATATATATATTTACCTTCCAAACACAAATGCTGCGAAAATAATTTATAATCTATAAGTGAATTCAGATGAGCACAAGTGGTTTTCAGGAAAAATACATTATTAATTCCGTGAAATATAAAAATTCAAATAAAATTGGCACTAGCAGAAATACCTTTTAACTCCAAGGTATATTTTACGACTGAGAAAAGAATTGATATGAACTATGTTTTAAGCCTAACTGCAACGCAATTCAGACCCTCGTGATGGATCATATTATCACTTAGATTACAAGTCTAGTATCACGTAGGCCAGATAAAACCTTGACTGAAATCAGTGATTTCTTCACTGGGAATGAAAAAAAAAGATAGTTGTTCACCAGAAAGTGAATATAGGTCACAGATTGATACAATGTAAACAAGCTACTGGCTTGTTTACAGCCAAACAGAACTGAATAGAATTTTCTAGACAAATGTCAATTCCAGTGAAAAAAGTTATCGTAACAATAGATGTAATGGAATAAAATAAAAACCAAACAAGTAATTAAATTATATATACGTAACAATAATGTAGCATACACTTATTGTATATAACACCAGACAGAGAAATACGATGACGAGACACAAAAACAACTCTGAACTAACCAAATCATACACCTACATCTCAAATCATGTTTTAAAAATGAATGAAACTAGAAAATTAGCCTTAATGAACTTTATGAGGATAAACTAAGTCTTATATACATTTATTGCAAGCACATGTAAGATTGAAAAAGAAAAACTAATATGCATTTCTTTAAAAATGATGCATTGTTATCACGTCTTACGTTACATAAAACTGTTCAGCCATTCATATTCTTGTGCAATTGTCAACTATGCTCGTATTGCGTTAAACGATCACCAGACATATTGTATGATTTACCCTACTCCCAGTCCCATTGTATCGCACAGGACCGGATTCTAAGCTGGCGAATATACCATACACATTCCTGACTTCGAGATCAATCCTGCGAATCAATGATTTGAATGTAAGTTATTTCCATTCTGACCACCTGTATTATTTAAGAAACAATGATTAACCGAGAAGTTCCGACTGCAAGGAACTGCCTTATTTATTCTACAAATAGAGTCGTAGAATGAGTTGAAGTGTTCTGAATTTATTATTGTTTATCTGACTTCTTTATGGTTTTTGTTTTGCCGAGAACTTCTCGGCGGAAAAAAATGTACGATTTTCTTCTATAAATTTTTGTGCCATCATACATCCAAGGAATATTCTTGTATCATCGATGACTTACATATTGATACAATACAGTGAATGAATTATAACAAATATATCATCCTACTCCCCTACTCAAGCCCAAAGAAGTCAGTCAGAAATGCCATATCAAATAATTCGTAGCCAACAATTGCAACATGCAGTATTAGTTGAGTAATACATGTGCTCGCGGATGGAAACATCACTTCGGCAAATTGGATTGTTGTGTTCATGCAGAATCCAAGAAGTTGTTCTCTGGATGCCCCTGTTTGCGAATTTGAGAATTCTCTCTATTGTGACCTGTCCTCATCCTCCAGCTGAAAAGACAGAAATAGGAACGTAAGTAGTAATGCTCGCACATGTAATATTTACATGTTTTAACTATGACGCAATATTTCAAAAATGTAATTATTAATAATTTACTAATATGTCTATCTTTCGTCGTAATTGTACAACGTGCGTAACAATGTTTTATTGTTTTTGGGCATAACGCCATTTCTCAGCACACGATAGGCTATACATGGCGGCCAGTATATATGGTGGAGGAAGAAACCGGGAAATCACCGGAAAGAACCACCGACCAGAAGCTACTGGCAAACTTTCCCACATATCCACATTCGCCGAATCCTAGACTCGAACCCACGCAGAGGTGAGATGGCAGTGATCCGTAACGGACAGCGATTTAGACCACTCGGCCACTCACGGCACCACAATATTTTAAATTATTTGGAATAAACTTGTCGGGCATTGGTAGTTTCAATGTTATTAACATGTTGGTTCATGGTGTGTCATCAAATATCAGAGTCATATAATTCTGCTAAAACGTCCTAATACGCATATTGGTCTTGTTTTGATTTTAAATATTGGACACGTCGAGGTGCTATTAAAATTATAAACAATACATATTCAAATCAACTTGTGAAATTTATTATACACATCTCTTTCATATCATTTATAGTGACATTAGTTTTTGTTCATGTTTTGTTTTATAAAATGAATGAAATTATACATATAAAAATGAATAAAGAAGAACTATTTAATGTATAACAAAGACAATATGTAACTAATTATTAGAAGTTTATGTGGGATACTGGGATAATCTCATTTATAAATTGTGCTTAGGACACTTTTAAATATTTGGGAATTAATTCACAATATTGTACGTGCCTTGTTAGGTTTCACTTAAATTTGTTTGTTGATTTTACTCTATATGTTCCTTTCACATTGTTTCTATAATATATATATATATATATATATATATATATATATATATATATATATATATATATATATATATATATATATATATATATATATATATATATATATCCTCTCTCTCTCTCTCTCTCTCTCTCTCTCTCTCTCTCTCTCTCTATATATATATATATATATATATATATATATATATATATATATATATATATATATATATATATATATATATATATATATAACCGCTCCGGTGGCTTAGTGGTTAGAGCGTCCGCCTCAGATGCGAACTGTATTGGGTTCGATCCCAGGTAGAGTCATACCAAAGACTTAAAGACTTACATTAGTGGTACTAACAGCTGCCTCGCTTGACATTCAGCATTAAGAGGTTAGTGTTAGGACTGGTGTCAGGTTAAGGTGACATCATGTTACAAATTTGCGGTATGATGCCCCAGTGCTAGACATCACTATAAACTGCCACACTGCAGACATCGTATCGATATGACTGAAAAATTGTTAAAACTACATTAAAACAAAATCATACTCACACCTCACTTTCGGTAATATATCTTAGATCAATGAGTCGTAACAACTGATTAAACGAAGGCGTGATCATGCGCAGTCAATAAGTTTTTGAATCTCTAAAATAATAGTATTGCCTGAAGTTTACTCTGGGCGCTGATTTAATACTGTGAGTCATGTAAGTTAAATCGCTTTCTAATCAATATTGATAATATTCACGGCAAGGCTTGAAAATAATTCTGGTACGACTATACTGTAGTACTAGGATTACCGTAGTATTATATAGGGCAGCCAAGAAATATAAATATGGGTCATTGTGTCTTGAATCGGCTGGTGTTCACAGAATTGCTACACTATACTAATTATGTTGGTCGCGTAAAATATGTTCATACTGCAAATATGCAACCATGTCTAACCTTGACTTGTGTTTGGTTTTTATTCACCTGTGCTTTGTTCAAATCAATGATTTATGTCTGTGACTATTTCCAACGCAACTGAAATTAAAATATAAAAGGACGAAGCTGGGATCGCTGGAACTATATTCTTTTGGAAACTGTAAATCGTCCCTCATTTAGATGAAAATAAAACACGCAAATTCCTTTTTTAGGTTAAGTATCAGTAATGTCTGAGAAGTCAGTAAACGGTGATAGTGGTGTGTACACTGTACAGCACTGAATGACCATCGTGTCGGATGCATTGTGCATTTTGCCATTGCAAAGACAAACCGACTTTGAGATTTCACTGACGTTTGCTAAAAAGGCGGCAATGTTGATGGTGAGAATACAATATTTGTCGAGCTTTTTTTTCATAAAAATTAAACTATCTTCTTTTCTGGTGTGGAGACATATAAAAGTGGTATAAAGTTAACGATATGCAATCAAATAAATGCAAAATGGACTTTCCCTTTAAGAATAGATTCAAGGAAGCAAATTAAGAAACGTTTAGTGTCATCATCTCAATCTCATTATCATCATCTTCTTCTACTTGTCTAATAATATTGTAAGATGACGGGCTTAGATTAAATCCATAAACCCAATCTACTATTTATAGGTTTATATCTAATTTACGCAAGTATATACACACCTCTACCGTTGCGTTGCATTACAGAGTGTATTTCCCTATTTATCCGTAGAATTATAACCTTACTAAGTGTTATAACAGAGAGATGATTCTTATTAAAAGTCCTTAAGGGAAATTTGCTTGAAACACGGCTGCATATAAGGATTTAATTAGTCCCTAGAGTTTCTAACCTCATCCAAGTATGACCTGCTATTAAAGGGGGCTAATTTGGCAAACCAGTGGTCTAGTGACACACAACCTACCTTTATCATAATAACATCACACTCCTATCTATCACAATGTGGTATAGTACAGTCTTCTTCTTCTCGTTATTATTATTATTATTATTATTATTATTATTATTATTATTATTATTATTATTATTATTATTATTATTATTATTATTATTTGTTCTGGTTGTTGTTGTTGTCCTTCTTCTTCTTCTTCTTCTTCTTCTTCTTCTTCTTCTTCTTCTTCTTCTTCTTCTTCTTCTTCTTCTTCTTCTTCTCATCATCATTATTATTATTTACTTCTTTTCCTTTCTTCTTCTTCTTCTTCTTATTATTATTATTATATTATTATTATTATTATTATTATTATTATTATTATTATTATTATTATTATTATTATTATTATTATTATTATTATTATTATTATCATTATTATTGAACAAACAAGATGAATTCTACTATTTATTGCAATTATATCAAATAAATAAACATGACAATCAACACTTTTGCAAAATAAAAATTCACAAAAGTGAAAGAGTAATATAAGAGTTCCTCGAAGAGTCTGACGCTTTTTTGGCGAAAGGAATATCCACAGTGGACAGATAAGACCAATCCATACTTCCGAGTCAAATTAGCTGCGGTGCACGTGATGGATATGAGAGAGAGAGAGAGAGAGAGAGAGAGAGAGAGAGAGAGAGAGAGAGAGAGAGAGAGAGAGAGAGAGAGAGAGAGAGAGAGAGAGAGAGAGAGAGGACTGTTTTCATTTAGGATAAAGTACACATCATTGAAAGTGTTTGGGTGAAATCACATGTCACAATGATTATCCAACGACAGTGAGTAGTGACAACAAGATATTTTACGACAGCTGTCGTGGTAGTCTTATTGGATGTACAAGTGGACGATTCCCAATAGGTATAATAAGAAGTATACTGGTGAAAACCCCTTGCAGATAACGCCATCCATTTTGAAGAAGTAGAGAAAACACTATTTGAAAGATATGACTTTACACGAAGGAGTAGTAATTAAAAGATCGTCAAGATGGCTGCCTTGGTGGCCATATTGGAAGCAAGATCAGAACCATTTTAATTTAGGACCAGCTAGTTATCATAAATCATCACTTATTGAAACACACTGTTGATATAACTATCTATGTAGAAGGGTAGAAGTACCAAATTTGTGGCGTCGGCGGCCATATTCGTGGTCAGAACGGTACCATTTTCATTTAAAACCAATTAGACCTCATAAGAAACCTGTTAGTGAAAACGCAATGTTGATATCACCATCCATGCTGGAGAAGTAGCAGTAAGAATATCTTCAAGATGGTTACTATGGCAGCCATAGTGGGCGGCAGATCGGTACCATTTAAGTATAGGACAAAGTCGCGACATCAGTAAAAAATTAATTTTTACATTACCATCCACGAATGAGAAGAAAGAAATAAGAAGGATTTAAACAAGGAAGTCGGATTGGCGCCATTTTCGTACTGAAGCATATGAAAATTATAATAATTGTTTATTGAAAACCAGGTGTCATAGACAATCTACTCAGGAAAAATAGAAATAACAATCTTTTTAAGACGGCTAGATCGGGCTGTCTGCATCAACATTTTCATTTCGGAAGATGTATACCATGAGATAAATGTATCATTTCATGACAATAATCCAATTTGCTTAGGAGTAGCGATTAAAAATTTGTGCGACCATTTATTCAGGAGTAGAATATTACAGATTTGCAAGATGGATGCCGTGTCGGCCATACTGGACGTCACATTTACATTATTTTCTTAAGAAGTCATTTTCTATGAAAACTCTAAGATGATATCATCAACCATGTAAAAGAAATAAAAAAAACAAGATTGTTAAGAAAGCCTTTGTTAAGGACATATTGGACATCAGATTGACCACATTTTCTTTTTTGGACCAAGCAGACAGGATAACCTTATCTTTTAAAGCAAAAATAGTACGTTCATAAAACAACCCATTTAGGATGATTAGTGATATTTTAAAATGGCTATTGTAGTGGCCATATTGGACGTTCACACAGCATGATTTTCATTTAGGACCATACAAACCATAAGATGATGTTATGTAATGTTTCATAGCAATTCTCACAGTAGTTTAGGAGAGGTAACGAAAACAAACGTGCTAACGGCCGGACGGACAACGGAAGTCAATCGACATACGACTAACCACGGACAATAGACCATCCCATAAGCTTTTCTGTGTCCAACACCATTTCGTTTTGAACCGATTAGACATATTAAGATGTCTTTTAGTGAAAACGCCATTTTGATTCTGAAGAAATAGCGATAACAAGTTTTTCAGTATGGCTGCCATGTCGGCCAAATAAATCATCAGTTCAGAACCATTTTTATTTATGATATACAAGACATTACCATCATAATCAGTCAGTTAAATTCATACGGTGATATGGATATCCATGCAGGAGGAGCACCGATAACAAAAATGTTAAAGATGGTTGTCATAGCACCATCTACATCTATGACCAGCTACGGGTCATAAGAAGACTTTTAGTAAAAACGATATGTTGATATGACTATTCCTTGATAATCGCAATCGTCATTATTAATATTAATATTATTATTATTATTATTATTATTATTAGTAGTAGTAGTAGTAGTAGTAGTAGTAGTAGTAGTAAGAGTAGTAGTAGTAGTAGTAGTAGTAGTATTAGTAGTAGTTCTTCATTACGCCTATCTGAATACGATTCCTTTGTGGATACAGATTTATTGATTTCCATTATATATGCTGATTATTTTTCTTCCCGTTTATTATGTGACGAGTCCGTGTTTAGCATTTTTTATCCAAGATGATTCAAACGAAGGAATAAATTCCTCACAGGAATCCTGATTTTTCTTGTCTTATTCCTAATTTCTAAAGGAATATTAAATGCGTTCACTCGTGTCGTTTCATGAGGATGTAGTCAATAATGGGCAATAGTCGGCAACTCAGAGTAAAATACAAATGTATATAGTTTTTAAATAAAGTTACTTAATATCTAGTCATGACGTATGAACATTTTAGGAAAATGTGCATATGTACATTTTGGACAACTTCAGATTAGAGTAGCATTATAATGTGTTCAGATAAATATGGATAATTATGTGATCTTTTGGTGTTGTAACCTGTCGGTAGCTATCTACTAGCGTAAAACTGTATATTACTGACCAGTGTTGTAGTGGATTCATCATCTTTATATTTTCCACTGCTTTTCACAACAGAAAAATGTACATGTACAAATCTCTATTACTTTAATATGTTGATGCGTCAGTACACTTTTCAAAATATGTACATGTACAAAATAATGTTACTTTAAATGTTGTATTTTGGCATCACGTACATTTTTCAAAATTTGTACATGTACAAATTCATGTTACTTGAATGTTGTATATTGGCGGCTGCTATCGGCCATTGTACCTTGAGAATCGGTAGAGTCGAACCTACTTATTAAAATAATTATCTCACGATTGGCTTTCTCACATTCCTCTA